TTCATCGACTCCCTTGTCCTGCTGTGACGCAGTCTGGCACCATGGGGCTGATGTATTGTCTGTTTGTGACCCAGGACTGGACAGCTGGCACCCCTTGGACAAACACCTCCCATCTGTGGACCTTGAATCATAGCTACACAAAAACCATAACTCCAGCCCACTGAACCCCCTCCTCCCCCCTTACTGAGCATATGCTCCAAGTTTTGGTAACTTCTACCTTAAAAGGGAAACAGAAGTGTCTTTTGCCAATCAGGGTAAAGGTATGACTGGAGTCACCCAAGCTCCACCTTGTAGGTAAAAAAATATAAAACTGGCCCAAAGAAAGGGGGGAATCAGGGACGACACCATCGCAGAGCAGTCAGGGAACGACTCCATCACAGACCTCTGACCCCTGGGACCAGTCAAGGGGCTGAGCCTCTCTTCACCCCCACAGGGACGGCTTTGGGTAAGACTTACACTTAGCCAAGGATCTTCCTCAGAAACTTAGAAATCTCTAGAGAATTATTTTACTACCTTAGCACTTTAACTTGTCCCCTTTTCAGTAATACATAACTTCATAGTAATTTGTAACTTCAATGCTACTCTCTATTTCTGCAGACAGTGGCTTTATCACCAGCAATCCATACGAATCTGTATTATTCCTGTTACTTTATTAAAGTGCTTTTATTCGCTCACAGACTTGCTGCACTATTTCTTACTGGGCTGTTGCCTGATGAGGCCGTGAGGGCCCAGAGACAGTGACTGGACAGCGGGTGCAGGGCACTATCGAGTGAATCCAGCACTGGTGTGTCTGGACTTGTAGTGCCACACAGAACCATGTCTGTCCATAACCAGCCACCCCAACTGACCTGTGCTTAGGGGGACGCCGCTAAATTCTGCAGGTTTAGCCTGTGTGAGCCCATGAATCACAGGTACAGGAGTGCAGCCCACTACTGAGTGAATCCACCATCGTCAGACTCGTAGAATTTGGCATCCCTCAGGATTTAAGCCCAGCCACCCCCAGCTGCTCCAGTTATCTGAGAGCGAGTTGGAACACAAGGCAGTTTATTTCCTGCTAAATTGCTTTACCACCCCTCTCACAACAGAGGGGATATACAAGCAGCCAGCTAAAAGAGAGGCAGTGAAGTGCATGTTTGATAGCAAGTGCTGTGCTCCAGGTTTCTGCTGTGAACCAGCAGCAAGAAACATCTTTCCTGGTCACCAGTCTTGGGAGCAAGAGTTTGGCTATTTGGGGGTGCTGAGGAGGGCTACATTCACATCTCGAGGATCCTCCCTGGCACCCAACTGGAAAGGCTTGTTCAGACTTAAGCCAGGTCTGGCAGCTGGAATGGTCTGAAGAATAAAATTTGTAAGATTTTTCTTTCAGAATCCTACACTCCCAGGGGCATCGACCACACCCTGAGATGGCCACCTTCACCCAAACTCAGGCCATGAAGTGAGCCCAGTGAAGCTCTCAAGCACTTTTTCCTCCCCCTCTTCGTATGGTGGCTAATGGTTTTCCACTGCCAAGCTACAAGTGGAAGCTGGAAGCACTAGAATCTCCCAAGTGGCAGCTTTCAGTACATTGCACAGTTCCTACTGGATTAAGAATGTAGGATGCAATTCTCACTAGAGGATGTGACAGATGATGTCTCCTTCCTTCCTTTCTGTCTTTCCATACAATACTCTGAGGTAAACATAACAAGTTCTAGGCCTAAGCTGCCACAAGAGGCACAGGACTGTGGAAAAAGCCTTCAGCAGTGAAGACTGTTAAACAGCACAACAGGTTGCTTAAGATAACTCTGAAAGCTTCCATTGTAAGTTTTTCAGTTATCATCTGTCAGGAACAGTTTTGGCCAAGCCCAGCTTCCCATACACCTGGCAGGTTCTTGGGGCAGAAGATAGACCCTTCCAAACTAATTTCAGTGCTGCTCTGAAATTCAGCAATATCTTATTCATTTTAGAAGGCTGATTACTGAAGACAGACATATGTGAAGTCACAGTGAAAGCCACCAGCAATACATATCAGTACCATCACCCTGCTCTCAGGGCAGGTCTCCAAGAGCAGTGGTCAGCGATTCAGAGTGCAGCTGACTGCTGGTGACTAGTGGCACTCAATACTGGGACCAACACTTAGGAGTCAATATTGGGGCTCCTTATGCTTTAGTATCTTTGCTACTGACCTGGATGACAAGATGGAGCATATTGGCAGAGAGTCTGCAGGTGACACCAAACTGGAAGGAATGGTTCATACACCAAAAGACAGACCTGCTATTCTGAGGGACCTAGACCAGTTGGAGAAATAGGCTGAGAGGAACCTCTGGAAGTTCAGTGGCAAATGCACAGCCCTGCCACTGGGATGGAGTAACCCCTGCAGCAGAACAGGCTGGAGACAACAGGCAAGAAAGCAGCTTTGCAGGAAAGGACCTGGAAGCGTGGGCAGACAACCAGCCCAGGAGCCAGCAGCGTACCCACGCAGCAAAGGCCAACCACTAGCAGGAGCAGAGGCAGCAGGGTGAGAGGAGGGATCCTGCATCTCTGCTCAGCACTTGTGATTCCATCTGGAGAGCTGGGTCCAGTCAGGGTTCCCCAGCACAAGGACTTGACACACCAGAGCAAGTTCAGTGGAGGCTATCGAGATGGTTTGGGCTGGAGCAACACAATGTACAGGAGAAGCCGAGAGCACCAGGTTTGTTCAGCCCGGAGAGCAGGCAAAAGGGAGATCTTGCTCTTAGCTGCTACTCTGACAGGGAACCAGAGAGACACACAGGAAAAGCTGAAAGGCAACAGGCACAGGTACAACATGAGAAATTCTGATGAGATGCAAGGAAAACCTTCACTGTCAGCATGGTCACACACTGGAATAGGAAACAGCTCCACTTCCCTAGTCCCATCTCCAGAGTCAGACACCCTGCTCTAACTTCGAACTTTTTTCAGCCTGGAGTGGACAAAGCAGCCTCCAGACATTCCTTCCAGCTAAATCACCCCAGAAGTCTCTGAGGTCCACTTCTCACAAGACCTCACACTTTGTGGGAAAGTGCATTGAGAACATGTGCCTTTCAGTTTTCCGATCCGTGAGATCGGAATGAGACTGACAGGATTTCCTTATTCAAGCCTTTGTTGTCTAGTAGGTGTCCCGAATAACCCACTTTTTTCAGTGTGGAATAGATGACTCAGCTCTTCAGAACACGAGGCTCTGTCTGCAGAGCCTTCCCCCTCGCACATACAAACAGCAGAGAGAGGAACTTCTTGTGCCATACTCAGTATTTTGTTTCAGAACTCGCTTGTGATGCTGTCGGAGGCTGTGTGCTCTCTTCAGATCCGAAATCCTCAGAGCTGCCCCAAAGTTTCTAGCAAACAAACTCAATGCTTTCATTTTATAACAGAAACATAACAATTACCTGGGAAATCCCCCTCCCACACCCCAGAGTCCGTACTTTGGGTGACTTGATGATCTCACCACATACAGTTAACTCAGGTTCAATGTTGCTTTTACAGACTGTCATGTTAAAGCCACTGGGGTCAACTTTTAAGCTAAGGCTCACTCTGCACAGCTATTACAGCTTAAATACAGAAAAAATGGCAGTTGAGAGAAAGGGCCCTAAAGAAGTCTCCCACCTCCTCTCCCCTTAATCACACACTGCCATACCTTAAGAGACATGACCTACCAGGTGTACAACTGCTCTTGTCCTGCCAGGCCCTGCTGTAGATCTCTGCTGTTGCCTCTCCCAGCTTCTTCATAATCCTAAAATGGTCTGTCTTCTCACGAAGAGAGCCACTGGTATCTGCATGGGCACTGCCTCTTGCTATGCCTAACTCCCCAGCACATCCCACAAGGGAATGCCAGAAAGCCAGGAGCAGTGACAGCTGCACAGCCCCTTGCTACAACTCTGGCCCAACATGAACAGTCATAAAAAAAGTTATAAAAAATAACAGAAAAAAGGTAACTCGGAGGAAACACTGGGGACCTGCATCCTGGGAGCACAGTAGAGAAGGAAACTGCACAGCAAAGGGGAAAGATGACAGCTCTCCTATCTAAATACTTCCCAAACAGAGAAAAACTAGAATGGAGGGAAACCATGAGCTTCCCCTTTCATACTCTGCCAGAGGAAGCTGTTTCCATTCCGCTATTCAGAGGTTCAATAAGCCAAGTCATCCTTCAGCAGGTACCTCCACAGGGGTGGTTAAAAGCAGGTAAAATAGTAATTAAGACATTTTCATAGAATTATCATGTTAAATTAAGTTTGTTCCCTTCAGCATGAGGAGCACGCAGCTGACTCAGAAGGCAGTGGAGTACCTGACACAGCAGATGCCATTTCCCCTTTCACACACAGTGAGCTCCCCACGTGGAGAGGTGTGGCTGCATATTTTTACAATGAAGGAATCCAAGACACCTTGTTCATGCTGCAAATCCCAAGGAGTCTGCAACGCTAAGTGAATTGGTATGTGTATTCAGGAGTTGCTGTCCCACCTCAGGGATGGTCCATCTGGAGCAGCTAAATCGTTACCTGCACTGACAGGCACAGCTCTTGTCATAGGTACAACTCCTAGAACATCTGGTCACAACTAGAAGACGGGAGAGTCAAGGACTGGGCTGATAAAAAACATTACAACCCTGATTTTATTGCACATTTTGGTCACTGGTGAGACATTCCTATGACAGTGCACACCTTCATGTTTTGTGATGCAAAACACTTCAAAAGCCCTTTCCATTTTTGCCTTGTTTTCTTACAGTTTCTGGTAGGAAAGGAACAACATCCACTTACAGAATTGCTCATCTTCACAAGAGCCCACCCTGTTTCCAGTTAAATGAATGGAAAAGGATCCCATGAACTGCAACAGAAGTTGGACAAGGCCCCTGGAGACTGAGCTCAGAATGGAAACTACCCGAGGGCAGGGTGAGAAGGCAGGGAAGAAAACACAAATACACCTTATTTAAAACAAACTCTTTCCACCCCCATGTTTATTTTTCCTTAAAAAAACCCCAAACAAACAAACAAACAAACAAAAAAACCCCAACCAAACAAACCAGTCTTTGCAAACAAATATCTTGTTTCTCCTTTCCAATTCAGTGGGGTTGCTGCAAGCACTCCATGGCACATGACTCTGAGGAAGCAGAGAAAGTGTACCACAACTCAGTCATATTTCCATAGGAAAAGCTGACTCATAACTTACATCATCCTTGAAATGCTGACACAGGTTTATAAGAAGCATCTGACTGTGAAGTCCAAGGAGTCACCCGAGGCCTGGCACGGCTGCCTAGCTCTAGCAGAGCAGCAGGCCCTCCTTTGCTGCCAGGCGCTGGCGATGGATTTTATCCTGCTGGAGCTCCTCGTGGTTTGGATGCCAGAGTTTCATGACAATTCTCTCAATGTTCAGAGCGTAGACAGTGTGTGCAGGAATAACTTCTTTGTGCACCTGGAAATACATGTTAGATGACAAGTTTCATGCTTTCATACGCATTTCTCCATACTGACCATGGAATAACCTCCCTCTACTGCAGGGTGATCAGGGAGGCAG